GTAGGATTCAAATCCTGAGTTGACATGTATTTGTAAACTTGTAAAAGTTGGAATTGGTTGCAAGCACAGTAGTTCATTATTTCAAATGTTAAACCATTGACTAAACATATGTTTTGGTTTACTGTTAATAATTGAGTTTTTGGATAAAAACTTAATACACTCAGTGATATGAGTCTAATTTATTACTTAACCTTATTACATTAGCTTTCTAGTTTTCTAAACTCACAAAAATAGTTGCTACTTAAAAATATATTTTAAAAGTACATGTCGTATAAAATTCAATGTAGCTATAACAGTAATCTCAGGAAAGGTTACACCTGATAAACATTGGTCCAGAAACCCAACAGGTCAGGTCAGTTCAGCCTACGTTGTGCAAAGGTGGGTCAACTTTTTGGAAACGGAGGCGGTGAAGCATTGGTGCACTTTCGGTGGAAATATTCGCCACTCCCAGATACCGTATCATAAAGACGCTGGAACATCTCAACAAAATCTTAGCAGAGAATGAGAACGAGAGTGATTTATACAGGGTGGACTACAGGCGGTGTCAACGCACTTCCTGGGAGATTTATCATGAGCCGTCCGGTATTTATCATAGAGCAGCGCCTATCAAGGGCACAGAATTAATTCAGGCCGCAAAGTGGGTGGGTTTAACTCGCCGAGGGGACCAAGACCGAGCCTTACCGAACTCCGTTGCCTAACGTGGTATTTAGTTGTGGGTGTGGTATCGTTGATATATTCGCACTGGCCTATTGCTTATCTGGGTTTAATAAATTAGGAGCCCAATTAGACCGGTATTCGTAGGGTAAAACACATAAAAGTTATAAATGATGTTTGAGAGAAATTGGAGAAAGCTTTCCTGTTGTCTGTGTTAACATTTTTATTTGTTTGCAGATTTTATGTTTAGAAGTAAATATATTTTACATGCTCCTCACATTTAGATAGCAAAAATTTTCACTATGACCTAGAATGGTGAATTGGAAAAGTAAGTATTACAATCAACGTTAATATCAATCACGTTTTAAAAACAAATATCTCTTCACGATGCAATTCTTTTGGTAATAATGATTTGTTTCAGAGTCTTGAAGAAATTTGCATTTTCATATGGAAAACATTTCTCTAAGCTTTTGGAATATATGAGTAGTGCTGACCAAAACAATCAAAACACTTGAACAATTGCGAGTTAAACGTTTCTGCACATTGATGTTAGCATATTCTATGAATGATCTTTTCAAGAGTCTTAGAAAGGTATTTTTTTTCTAATTCCGGCAAAAAATCTCTCGATCACTTAGCACCATTGCCAGAAGAAATAAAGAAATCGCTTGTGTAGTTACTCTTCCAGAACGAGGGTCTCCAAAGTGAAACCCTGTGTTGCATTATTCAGAGAGTAGAACTTCAGTAGGAGCAGGAAGGCCAAATATTTGCCGGAGAAGAGGCCCCACTCAACTGCAGCCTCAGGAGCCGCCCACACTGACCGACTCACTGACTGACTGATACAATCACTGAATGCATCTCATTGGTCAATTGATTCATTAAATCACTGCCTGGTACTGTGCTTGCTAGAGCTTCTGATTTAGATCTGATACCATTTGAAGACATTTTTGAACGGGTTGTTCCCCAAGTACAATTGCTAACTGCATCCTTTTTTGTGGTGACTCATTAAATCACTGCTGGACAAACTGCATTTTTCATGAATCACTGGCATATTCAATGAAAATGTGACTTCTGATTGGCTTGTATAATCACTGACTTTTACTGACTCTTGACTTTTTCTGGCAAACTAAATCACTCATTCTCTACCTATCTTCTTTTGGTGGGGTCCATCGAGTGTTATATACTTCGATGGTGGGGTCACTGCCGTATTATCTTAAACCGTCTGAAAACACTTCTGACCAGTTTACTGACTGATGCAAACGCTGACCTTATCTTATTAGTGAATTAAATGTCGAAATCACTACGTAACAGTCTGCATTTGATAGAACAACTGACATATTAAATGAAAAAGAAAGAAAGACAAATGATGGACTTACAATTGCTGACTGGGTCTGACTGCTTCTTGTTAGTTACTGACACACTAAATTACTGCTTAATATTCCCATATTTTATCTGGAATCATTGTCGTATATTTGAAACTATCTGAAGACATTTCTGACCGTTTCACTGACTGATTGAATCACTGACTGTCTTCTACTACGTTACTATCGCTTACTCAATTAATCACTGACTTACTGGCCTGCTGCGTAGTTGGAATCACTGACATAGCTCAAACAAGACAAGTCACTTCTGACTGACTCAGTGTTTGAATCTAATTCTCTAGGCGACTCTAATTGGTGCATTGAATCACGGCTCGTCTGTCTACATTTGATAGAATCACTGACATAACTTCTACAGTGCCTGGCAAATTCGAAAGGAGCTGTGTCAATGACCAACTCTGAAACAGTCAATATTTTACTGACTCATTCATTAATTACTTAAAACCAGTAACTCACACCAAGATTTGTTTTCTAGGCTTAATATGAATGCAAAGTGGGTGTAGAATGGAATAAGTTGATCTGTGTAGCTTTGTAACTGACTTAGGTAGGCTGTTTCTTATGCCAGGGTAATTTATTAAACCCTAATGATCAAGAACAACCGGGGTCTGTTCCTCATACTCTTTTTAAATCTCGCCAGAGGATACTTTCATTAGATTGCTTTATTTCATGATTCCAATAATTTCACTCACAGACCCACAGAAATAAAGTGTTGCTGAATTGTAGACCAACTGGAACTCTTGAGTAAGGCCTTATTCATTATGAACTATTACTTTTAGTACGAATGATTGTCTTCTTCAATGAACTACGGGCCTAACTTGCAGAGGATGGTTAAAATCAAGTGTAAGAATATCAAAATGTAGAGCTAATTTATTGGAGAGGATTTTTTTCAACGGATCTAGTATTTTGTCAACAATCATTAGAACCACAAATGCGGTTGTAGTTACTTGGAAAGGGCAAATACATAACTGATTGAATAATCTTGATTCCAAATGAGCAAAATTAGACAGTTCTAACTTCATAATATTTTACTAGGGTATGGATGTCTTCATCACAAAGGCAATCCAACTTACCCATTACTTTGTCCCCGCATGTTAGAAGAGCGAGATTCATTAGGCAGACTCATTGTATTCTGGTGGTCTACAGCGATTGTTTAGTTGTGTCGGAGATTCTACCATGCTAATACAAGACAAGAAACACGCCCTACACCAACGCTCTGCTAGACTTGTGATGCTTTTCTATTGTCATTGTCTCCGACGGATGTCTGATGAATGGGCCACGCTTGTAGAAACTAGCGGTGCAGGGTGTTGATCAAATGATAGATGAGCTTCAGTGTTTAAAGTTTATTTGAAGGGGATTGGTTCAGTTTTATTCTACTGGTCATAAAGTTATAAAAATAATTCATCCGGGAGTTAATCTTCTAGGTCTAGCTTCCAGATGCGAGAGTGCTCTAACGGTACTATCACGTGAATTGTCGATGAAAACACGACTCGAAAAAAAACACATGGTCATATGGTCAGAGTGAAGTTCCAGGTGTTGCCCCAAAGTATATCTTGTAGAATACTTGATAAATGACCTAATGGAAGTTCCAGGTGTATCCCCAGAGTAAATCTTGTAGAATACTCGCCAAATGGCCAGAGGGAAGTTCCAGGTGCAGCCCCAGAGTAAATCTTGTAGAATACTCGCCAAATGGCCAGAGGGAAGTTCCAGGTGCAGCCCCAGAGTAAATCTTGAAGAATACTCGCCAAATGGCCAAAGGGAAGTTCCAGGTGTAGCCCCAGAGTATATGTTGTAGAATACTTGCCAAATAATCTAAAGGAAGTTCCAGGTGTAGTCCCAGAGTATATCTTGTAGAATACTCGCCAAATGGCCAGAGGGAAGTTCCAGGTGCAGCCCCAGAGTAAATCTTGTAGAATAATCGCCAAATGGCCAAAGGGAAGTTCCAGGTGTAGCCCCAGAGTATATGTTGTAGAATACTTGCCAAATAATCTAAAGGAAGTTCCAGGTGTAGTCCCAGAGTATATCTTGTAGAATACTCGCCAAATGGCCTGATAGATGCGGACGTCGAGGAAAGGCTCACCCAGTCACGGAGAAGCCCATCTTGCAGTGATTTATCAAGGAATGGCAATAGCGGGGCATCGTTAATGTCTTATTGTTGCAGTGCGATATGGGACATGAATCGCCCATTACTGGACACACCGCCATCGACAACCTGTTTGCTTTGCTCGTTGGGCTTCAACCGAGGAATTTTCAATTTGTCACGAACGCCGGATACACGCGAAGTGCAAACAGGATGGGAAATTATGTGAAAAGTATTTTATTTGACGTAATTGTAAGTGAGCTCTGAAGTAATGTGAGAAACAGTGATTTTGTATATTTTCTGCTTTGTACAAATTTTAGGGTTGAAGAATATGTGTGATGTAGTTCATGTACCAAAATTGGGATTTCAATGCAGAACAACCACAACTATAAAACTATTGTTATATAGGATAATAGAATAGAGTTCTGTTTGATTGTTATGGTAACAGTGTAATTGTGTTACAGTAGTATAGGTTGGTTAGTTTAAGTTAGGTCAGTTTAAGTAGAGACTGTTAGTTACTGTATACAAGAGGGCGGGCATTAATTGCGCCAACTGAACGGAATCAGGTAGTCGGGTATTCCTGAATTGTGCCAACTACTCAAGGGAGCCACCCGATACGTTCATTAACTGCGACAAGTGGCAGCCCTCTTTGACTGTATAACTGAGTAGGTTAGGTCTTTGAGTTAGGTTAGGATAAGTTAAGTTAAGTTAGGTTAGGATTGTTTAGGATGACACTTAAACAAGGAAATTCCTTCTGCCGGCAACTCACCCCTACCTGGCTTGGGCTTGGCGGAACTAAGGGACATTTTTGGGACCCTTTGAGGGCTTGGCGTAATTAAGGGAGATTTTGCTGCAATTGATTACGACCATACAAGATCAATATTTTGACACTTTCACTTCGTAATTTCCAAGCCAATAAAGCAGATCTGTGATTGTTCTTCATTTTGCTGGCAAAGTATTCTACACTCCTGTAGCTGTAGCACACGGCTGACGTCATCTAGGTCCACGACCGCCTTCTACAACAGTAAACTGTTATAGCCAGATCTTTGGCCAGATAATGTTGGCACGACTGATGATTTAAAAGACTTTGTCTTTGTCGCCGATCACGTGATCTGCCACTCTCTCTGTCATTGGTCAGTCAGGAGTCTGGCAGTATTGTGTCTGATTGAAAACAATTTGAATTTTAGATTTTCAGCTCTCTCAAAGTTTTTTGTAGTATGTAGAACTGATTTGTCATGCCATTTTTAGTAATTAAAATAAATAAATCCGTGTTTTAGGTGAGAGTATACATGTGTAAGACATTCTTTAAAATTACAACAAACCTTTCTATGGCGTTTAAAGTTAAAATGACATAACAAAATGTTCTTTAGGAAAATTGTATTTGCAAAGTGATCAAATACTATTCAATACCAGTCTATTAATTTGTTTACTAAATTATTGTGCCAATTAGTACCTATAAATAACCGGGGCTGATTCTATAGCATTTTGCAGCACCTTTATTTTAGTAAATGATCATGTACGAAATTTTATTTCTTCCGGATTCATATGATACTGTTAAATTCTCATTACTTCATGTGTTTCGAATAAATATGTTACAGTTTCAAGAATGTCCATACTCCTTCCATAATGGTATTATATATGAGATAGTTTATAAGAAATACTTATTTCGTAGTCCAATTTCTCGGTCAACGGTTGCATATCTATGAGTTTCAGTTATACCACATATACGAGCCTTGAAACATTTCGCAAATTCCAGGAAGAAGTAACTTACATTTCACATTCCTATATTACGCACAATATGGTTGACCACCTGTATTCCGATTTCCCAATCACAAATCTTCTACATCGCCACTTCTCGGGGTTTCCCGAGATACCTATGCCTCGCCAATAAATTCCCCAAACAGCCATAAAAGTGTGACTCAGTTAAGTCCCGGACATTCAACCTTTGTGGTTGTCTAAACTAAACATTTTCGTCAGATAAATGTCTGACTCATTTAGATTGCACAATAATGCGTGATGTAACTTATTTACGAGATTTCAAGTAATATTACTTGAAGATTGTGATATCACTTGCGTACATTGCGAGTATATTAGAGAGCAATTGAAGTAAACAACTACGATTATGTTGACTTGGTAGCTGAGTAGTTATAGTGCTCACATAGCAATCAAAAGGTTGCCGAATCGATCCTGAGAAAAGTCAATAGCTTTTTGATTGTTTGAAACTGGACCCAGCAGTTCTTGATCGTTGTATTTCAAACCTACGAATCCAAGACCTTCAACAGATGGTCCTGCACTTTGGACTCCATCCGAAGTACTAAATTCTCTTCCTGGAGCTCCACCCAATCCTCCACCTCATCTTCAACCTCATCTTCCACCTTATCCACCAACCCATCCAACAGCACCTCATCGTCATCCTCCACCCCATATTCCACCTCATCTTCCATCTCATCTTCCACCTCATCCTCCACCTCACCTTCCACCTCATTCTCCAACCAATCCACCACCCAATCCTCCACCTCATCTTCAACCTCATCTTCCACCTTATCCACCAACCCATCCAACAGCACCTCATCGTCATCCTCCACCCCATATTCCACCTCATCTTCCATCTCATCTTCCACCTCATCCTCCACCTCACCTTCCACCTCATTCTCCAACCAATCCACCACCTCATCCTCCACCCAATCTTCCACCTCATCTTCCACCTCATCTTCCACCTCATCTTCCACCTCATCCTCCACCTCATCCTCTACCTCATCCTCTACCTCATTCTCCAACCAATCCTCCACCTCATCTTCCACCTCATCCTCCAACCAATCCACCACCTCTTCCTCCAGGTCACTCTCAGTGCGTGAGAGTATTGCGCCCCCCACTGTGAGACGGTAATTACCTCTCAAATTTACACTTTGCTCTCGGTTTGCGGCGATTCGCAGCTCGTGACTTATGGGCAGATTTCATCTTCTCGTGATGTATTTGTTGCTTCGAGGTCGCTGCTTCTCCTTTCCAACGATGATCTACTTTGCGTTTTCTTTCTCCAGTTAAACCCGTTAATGAGAAAGCTTTTGAAATTGCTGTTGAAACGGCTAGTAGATGTTTGATTTAAATAAATTTAAGTGATATAATTCATATGCATGTTGGTTGAACATATTTTGGTAATGTAGAAGATTGTATGAAGTTTTTATGATTTTAAACGCATGAGGTTTCTTTGCTCTCTAAACCTTCCTATATTTTGAGTTACATTTTAATTGCTATGTATTTATTGAAGAGAACTTGAAGCAAATTAATCTTTTTTAAAAGTTAAGTAAAGCAAATATTTTTTTAAATAAATCACTAACTGCCCTAGGATTTGGATTTTGAGAAAAGATTGTTGTTTAAATAGAGATACATGGTCTATTGATTGTTTGCACAGTAACTGGATGGTAACGCACGGATAAACAATCTTGATACTGTACGTATAATTTTATAATCGGTGTCTGAATTCATAATCTTAACTAAACGGTAACTGTGTCGATGAATAAAATATGGTGGCCTATGTACCTATTTTTAGAGTTTTCATGATTTAGTTAACACAAAAGCTGTTGGATACAGTTTAAGAATGTTCACACAGTCAAGAAATGACATGATGGCATTCACCAAGGACTATACGAGAAAGAAATAATGGCTCTTTTGTTAAGGTTTCTCGAAACTCAATTTGTTATTAAAGATATTTACGTGTATATTGATAAAAAAGTGTACTTAAAAAAAATATTAAAAGTAATAAAGCAATAAAACTTTATTTTAGCCAAAAAAGTCGTTCAACACAAAAAGGGGGACAGTAACCATTTGTGGGTTATTACTCAAGCACTCATGAATTACTCATAAAAGTTCACAGCTGAACACTAATCCAGCAACATAAACATGAACAGTTTAAACTCCCAGGTAACCATTGACGGGGGCTTTTTGCAAGGTTACAAAGGATTTCCACTTGTTTGCTTTTGATAATGAAATAGTTCGGCGAGACTCTGCTCAAAGGATCGCTTCATACTCCACTGGTCTAGAAGTAAAATAAAAAAGCCCACCATGACGTCTTGTGATCGGTTACTCGAGTGCCTACAGCGCTGTGGGGTCTAGGGACACTTGAGTTGATCGCGATTATATTTTTGTAACTGACTTTTTAATTTGGCTTTGCACCCCTTAGCTGCATTCATTGTAATCGTCGAACTGCTCAAGGTCAAAAAGAGTATTGATAGAAAAGGTGAGAGAAATTACTCATTGTGCAACGTTACACGTTTGCAATTGAAGACAAAAGGTGAATAATCAAGAATGTAATGACTATGGTGCTTTTTGTTTGTTTGTCTGAGTGTAGAAGATTTCCATAGTTTAAAACAAAAATAGCTGAGGTAAGTGAGTTGTTCTTTATGGTTCAAAACTATACCGATCCGTAACTTGACCATTGGGCTTTCATTAAGTGGACCTGACCGATGAAACAGATGGTCTTAGTCAGTAACAAAGCTCTACAAGGCAACTCACACCATTCTACACTCATGCTTCACTCATATTTGGGTTAATATACGCACATTGGTGGGGTCCCCATCTCAATTGATAATGATAATGATAATTAGCGAGAAACCTTAAGTGGTAAAATATCTTTATAAACCATGTGTAAGGATTATTTTTGCCACAAATTCAATAGTAGAAAATAGTAAAAAACTTTCAGATGTCAATTTTATAATTAGTGTATTTAAATTTCATTTTCTACTCCGGCCACAAATAAGTACACATTCACTGTCTTTATGGTTGAATTCAAAAACAATATAAACCATCCAGATGTATACTTGTGAAGGTAATAGTTGTGACCAGAGCAGGGTGGTGACCTTGACCTTATCTAGCAACCCCCTGGGGAGTTTGTAAATCTGTAAATCACTCCCACTCTGCAGATGGCCTCTGTACCACTCGGACACTGTTATTTATTTATCTCAGTTATTTATTTATTGGCTACGCGGCCAAATAAATATTATAATAATTTTATTATTAAAGGTGCATGCACAACATAAACGCTATTTTAATTTGAACGGCATAGTAAAAAAAAAAAAAATAAAAATAAAAAAAACAAACAATAGGACTATTTTTAATTGAAGATGAAAATGTAAATTTTTAAATAAAAAATTAAGTTTGAATCCTGTCTTTGTTAACAACAATATATTTGATTTTGTTTCCTACACAGCACTGTGGTAAACCTTTTGTATGCATTAACTAAGCGTTATTTTAAACACATTCAAGAATTCAATATATTTGTAAAATTTATAATTAACATTTTTTTAGGATAGTATGTTAAATAATTCTTATCTCCCAGTACCCTACAAAGTTATTTACTCCAGGACAATGAGTTTTATTTCCTCATCCTCTGCTTAAAGTTTTTTCAACAGATGGGTATAAACGTATGTATATAGTTTTAGTTGATCGGCAATAATTTCCACATTAATTTTGAACATGACTTGACAAACTTTTGGATATTCATTTATCATAGATTTTTTTATTCCCATACCCTATCTAGACGTTATGCCATCGACAATGGTGATTTTCTGCTTATAGTAATCCACGCATTGGAAACACCCACCAGTTTTGGCTTTATTGCCTGGTCATATCCAACAGCACCTTTATTTTAGTTGTTTTCTAATAAGACAGTGACTTTAAAAATCGACGTTTCATAGGGTTAAATTTTCATGACGTGATCATTGTGCCCTTTTGACGATGATACTCAGAGCCTCAGTATCCAAGTTAGTTCTCTTTAGCTTTTACTGTAGTTTAATTTACGTTTCATTCAGGGATGGTATTATTCCTTCCTCGACGTCCCATCCCGGAGGAGACACTGGTCGGCGCCACCTGATCTTAGGTCAGACACGTCTTCTGATAAGGCAATCAGCTTATCACCGCTTCCTGACAAACATTTACCAGCGATCACCTGTCTCGCTCCAACAGATCTGTCATATCACTCATAGACCTACCTCAATCTCTACTGACATAGCCTCGGTTGAGATATTTCGAAGATTTTCTATCTTACTCACCTGACTTAGGCATATGTGAAAGTAAAAGATACATTCGAATACATTTGATTGACACCATAGAAATGCCATAGTAAAATTCTAAAAGGGTAGAACATTTTAACACATTCTTCGTTATGCAATGACACACATGTAACATCTATAACATCTGTAAAAGTATTGTGTGGTGGATCAATAAGGTTCGATTTAAAAAAATAGTTAATCGTTTAAGTCGATTTACTTTTGAGTTCTTTCTGCAATTTTTGAACTAAGAGAGCACCTCTGATAAATTTATGTGGAATCAGGCAATCAAGAAATAATCCTAAGTATAAGTAGCTCCTAGCCCTGAAATTACAGTGTCAATGTCAATTACTTTCCAAATTATATAACAGATTTATTTGGTACGTCTAACTAGCTTAAAATTTTTCAAATAAAATAAGGGTATCAGTGGTTTATTTTAGATAGTAGGTCAACCTGAGGACTTTTGAGAAAGTATGTCAACAAGTTTCACTATTTAGTACCTAATATACTAAAAATTAAATACGTGGTTTCTACATAGTAAAATTGTATCACCATACATTTTTTCAACGAAATAACCATTCACCGAATACATTGAAACAATTTATTCCATGGAATAGAACAATATTCCTTTCCAAACTGGTTCAGGTTGCTACTCAATAACCAAATTTCCCAGTGGATATTTAATTAATATCCAGGGACATTCCGGATTCACCACGGTCACGCAATCCGAATCCCGAATTTCACAATCCGAAGAGTAAATCACAGCGTCTCGATTGAGTGGTAGGCTAGGCGGTTAATCGTCATTATAGCTACGTGGGCGGAGTTAAACCCGCGGATAAATCAACGGCCGAATCTCAAATTGAATATTCGGTTGTATTTTCAGCCCGGGTAATACAGAGTTACGGTGGATTAGTTAATTAATATTTTATTACAATGCTGTAGGTCGCGGATTACAGGTTCATCTTGATATTTACTGCTTTGTTTGTTCAGGTTTAGAAAGGCTTGTCGCAGGTTTGGTGGTCTTTGACGCTATTGTCTAGGGTGTAGTAGAAAATAATGTTTCAAAAACACACTAGTGAAGTAATAAAACCCATTTAAATAACATTGAGTGCTCAACTTTAAAAAATATACCTCTATGGAGCCAACGGCATTCAACGCTATAAATCAGGTGTGTGCTTGAATTTTATTGTTATGCTTGAAATTTTCTAACCTAGCTCTTGTTTCTAAAAGAGCGTTACTGTTAGAAGATGAGTGAAATGGATAATGAAAAAAATTACGTAACCTCCTGTATATTGTCAGGTCAGATATATCCAGTTGGACAAATCCCATATCTAATGCATTTTGTTGATTTTGCTGAATAAACGATCTATGAATAACTCGCTTCCGCTCGTTGCACATTCACCTGCGTGATGTAAAAACGCTCTTACTACACTTGTAAGGTAAATACCTATTTTAAAATTAGTATGTGTTAAGATTAGACAAGCTTTTTAAAAGTCGAGAGGAATACGTAACCATGGACCAAACATATACTATTATAGACGAACCATCTTAATGAAACTGTAAAAAATCCGGAAGATTCTGTTGGTTGAGTGTGTAGAGATTTATCACAATGGATAAATCTCTACAACAACTATAATCCAAGCAAGTTTTACAACTATAATACAAGCATGTATTATAGACGAACCATCTTAATGAAACTGTAAAAAATCCGGAAGATTCTGTTGGTTGAGTGTGTAGAGATTTATCAATTTAAACCAGTTTCTAACTAAATACGTATAAGGATATATTTGAATGTATTCCTATCGAAAAATTTAACATGGTGTCTACAGCT